TGGCAGCTCTGGGAATTCCTGTAATGAACACAGCTGTTCCTAATACCTCTGCTGTTAAACTTAACCTTCCAACCTTTCAGTAAAACAGGCCAAAGTGAGGAAAAAGCTGTAATGTCTTACTGAGAGCCACGGCTTGTGTGAGGAAGGAAGACGGAGATAAGGAGGAAGGTCCTGCTGTGAGCATGGTTGTAATTACATTACCATTAATAATGTTCAGCAGAGTTCAGTCCTTGTTTGCATCATAAGTTTGGGCTGACCATGGGCACCTTTGTGACTCAACATGCATGCTCACACCACTGCAAGCACAACTCAAACGGATTGATTTACTAAAACAATAGAGACCGTTTACTTAGCCAAGTTCTTAGCTTGCTCGCTCAGCAATAGATGACACAAATTTCTTTCCTTTCACCACGGAAGGAGGTTAAGAAAATTGCTCTATTCCCCTTCAATACAAGCAGTGTTGATGAGGGAATCCCTCCCACAGTGCTTTTGTATTGTGTTGGTGGGGAGCCTTCCCGGCTGGCAGAGCACAATGATTACTGCTGACAGCTATAGCCGCTGGCAGTGATCGCATGCAACAGCCGACAAGCTGGTTTTACTTAAAGCACCATAAGAGGTGAATGAGATCCCCCTGGGCCCTTGCACATTTAGCACAGAGAGGAGATTGGAGGAGCCCCATGCGATGAAGTCTAAGAAGGGAGTATGTATAGCTGTGAAAGCCTCTGACCGGTATTAAGGGACCTAAGACAGATTCCAATGTGTTATCCCACAACCCCTCATCCAAGGGGCCTAAGTCTTGTTCCCACTGCTCCTTAGCCTTACAGGGATACCCTTCTAGGCATGGAAAAATGAGCACATGTCATAACACCTGGATATAAAACCTGTAGTGGCTTTAAAGTGGAGCTCCACCCAAAAGGGGAAGTTCCGCTTTAAGTCTTTGTCCCTCGCTCCCCATTAAGGATTGTCACCTTTGGGGGGGGAGGGGTGGTGCACCCCCACTTCCGCTGCGATCCCCTAGGCAATCAGAAGTGGAAGTTGTTTCCCTCCCCATAGTCTTGTGGGACACGTGACAGGTCCCAGAAGACTACAGGGCCAAAGCGCAGCACTTCTCGCGCATGCGCAGCGGGCACTCAGCTGTGAAGTTGCAAGCTGTCCCCACTGAAGATGCCGACACCAGGGAGAGAAGACAGCTGGTGAAACTAGCCGTGGTGAGGACACCGCGGGACCGAGGGACAGGTAGGTGGCTGTATTTTAAAAGTCAGCAGCTACAGTTTTTGTAGCTGCTGACTTTTTTTTTTTCAGGTGGAACTCCACTTTAAGTCAATTGACTACCAACCTGTACAACCAACCTGTCCATAGAATAATTGACTCTTGGCCAGTGCCTGCTGAACAACTGATGTTCGATCCATCTATGGCCGGCTTATGTGAATAAGATGAAACTGTGTTCACTCTGAATACCCAATCATGCGCAGAGGAAATTTTAAAAAAAAGCCTTTTGCTTGCACATGATTGGATGATTGAAGACAACACAACTCATCAAGTGAATATTCATTTTGCATATAGAACATACCACTCCAGAGTGAACATTAACTTTGTTGCATGATTAGTCTCTGTTCCTTTAATTTAGGTGTATGCAGGGCCGTGGATAAGGGGGGTACCACCTGTCCTCCTGTACAGGGCCCAGGCCAGCAGGGGGGCCCAGCCAGCTGAGTGAATTGAATGTGCGCAGGGAGGGTGATCAACATGGCAGGGGGGCAATTACTAGAACCGATCACCTGAATGGCTCTCTCTGCAGCAGCTGAAAGCTGGCTTCTTCTCATTTCCCTCCCGCTGGATTTCAGCTGCATACAGTGGATCAATTCCAGTAATTGCCCCCGACACCCTTTCTGTACACCATTCATTTTCCCCTGCTGCCCAGGTCCCCCTATGTGCTCCCACCCCTGCAGTGCTGCTGGCTTCCCTCCTCTCCTTCCCTCCGGCAGCTGCATGCACACAATAGGATCCTTCAGGATGGAGACTGGGGGAAAGGTCCGGTAGATATGTCACATCAGCCCCTTCCTTTACTGAATGAACACAAGTGATTGGTACCAATCACTCACTGTATTCATTAGTAAGTGAAGCATAGTAAACTGTTTATTTTTTCAAGGGGGCCCTGTCAGGTTGTCTATATGGGGCCCAGGGGTGGACTGACCATTTAGCCACTCAGGCAACGCCCGAGGACCTGGGGTCAGTAGGGGGCCCCATGAGATGCCCTAGTACCTTTCATAGGCTTTTTTCAGGTGTGGTTTGAGTGTGGGCAAGGACACAGGGGCCCCATGATTTCCTATTGCCCGGGGGCCCCATGAGTTGTCAGTCCGCCCCTGATGGGGCCCCGTAGTTTCTAACAGCAGCCCTGGGTGTATGCATAGCAAAAACTTTTTTGTTTTAGGGTAGGAACAGGAAAGAGGTAAACCCACTGCCAGCTTAGATTAGAAAACCCAAAAAAGGCCAGCAGGCAGTGTCATTTCAGCCAAAAAACACTTTTTTACTTCTATTAATCTATGCACTGACTGTGGATCTCACACAATACAGTGCACAGTCCTGACATCTTACAGATGCGGAGAATGAGATGAGATAATGTAACTCCAGTGCACATGCATGGGAGTTGCATCATCACTAAAAAAAAAAAAAAAATTAAAGTGGAACTTCACTGCATCTGAGCCACACAAACCAAAAATGCTATTTAATTAATTGTCCATGTCTCCCTGCTTTATTTTGATGAGAAAACATTTTGAAAAAAGCCCCCCCAGCATTTCTGGCAATGGCCATCTTGAGTAAGGGCAGATGATGCATGTAGCATTTACTTCCTGGAATCCATCTGTCCTTAGCTCAGGCATTGGCTGAGCTAAGAATCCCCCCCCGAAGACTCCTTGGGTGTATGACATCATTTGTCTAGGCAAGAAACAAGGAAGTAACCAAAAAAATGTAAAAGAAAAGTTTAAAACGTGTATTATTATTATTATACAGTATTTATAAAGCGCCAATAGTTTGCTCAGCGCTGTACATTACAAAGGGGGACAGAACATGTGACAGAACAATACCAATACAATGCAAAACATGAGGGGATTGAGGGTCCTGCTCCTTGGAGCTTACAATCTAGGAGGGAGGGGATGGTGGCACAGGAGGAGATAGCTGTGGGGGATGGAGTGGTAGGAAGAGTGGAGGAGGTCGGCAAGTTAGCAGGGGGTGGGGTAGGCTTCCCTGAAGAGGTGGGTTTTCAGGGTGCACCTAAAGGAGAGGAGAGTAGGTGATAATCTGATGGGTTGGGGCAGGGAGTTCCAGAGGATGGGTGACACCCTGGAGAAGTCCTGGAGGCGGGCATGGGAGGAGGAGACCAGGGAACTAGAGAGCAGGAGGTCTTGTGAGGAGCGGAGTGTGCGTGTTGGGCGGTACTTGGATATTAGGTCAGTGATGTAGTTCGGGGCAGTATGATGGACAGCTTTGTACGTCAGCATTAGGATTTTGAATTTGATCCGTTGCGCAATCGGAAGCCAGTGGAGGGATTGGCAGAGGGGGGTGGCGGAGATGGAGCGGTTGGAAAGGTGAATGAGTCTGGAAGCCGTATTCAGGATGGACTGAAGCGGGGATAGCCAGCGGTGAGGCAGGCCAGTGAGGAGGGAGTTGCAGTAGTCGAGTCGTGATATGATGAGGGAGTGGATGAGCTGTTTAGTGGTTTCTGGGGTTAGGAACGTGCGGATTTTGGCGATGTTGCGGAGGTGGAGTCTGCATGAGTTTGTTAAAGATTGGACTTGGGGTTGAAAAGATAGGTTGGAGTCCAGAATGACACCAAGTACTCGGGCCTGCAGGGCGGGTTTGATGGTAGCGTTGTTGGATGTGATGGAGAAATCAATGGGGGGTGGTGTCCGGGCTGGGGGGAAGACAAGAAACTCGGTTTTGGAGAGGTTCAGTTTAAGGAAGTGGAGCGACATCCAGTCTGATATGTCGCTCAGTAGGTGTGTGATTCGGGCTGAGACCAAATAGAAATGAAATGCAAAACATTTGTTGTAAATATGATATACTTTCCCATCCATTTAGCATAAGGATTAAAAATAGTCCATGTTGATTGAGCGAGTGAAGTTCCAACTTTAAAGTGAACTGGTCTAAAACAAATTCAAACAGCAAAAGGGGGTCAGCAGCGCCTTCAGACAAATACTGAGCTCTATAATAAAAGTTACGGTTTATTCAAAATTCCTTTAAAATGCATGTTTCCAACGTCCTTGGAAATTAGATTTAACAATAAAATCCTTGTTTTTAAAATATATTCAGTTTTCACTCGTTAATAATAATATTTTTCCTTTGAAGCCTTATGAAAAAGTTGTGTCTAAGGCTGCAGTCACAATGATCTGTATTAAAAAAAGAGTGGAAGAAAAATGCATGACCATTAAATCCAATGGAACTCTTCACACTGGTCAGTTGTGGGTCCGTTACAAGGCCTACAAGCTGCATTTTTGGTGCATGTTTGGTGCGGTAAAAAAAAAAAAAAAACGCACCAGAAGCACACCTCCCTATTGAAAGGAAAATGCATCAAAACCACATCAAAAATGTGTTTTTACCAGGGCTGGATGTATCCTTTCTGATCTGGGGGTGCAGTAAAAAAAAGTCCTGGGGCATAATGGCAACACTGTGTGAGTCACTGACAGTCACACAGTGTCCCAGCCTGGAAAACACTATTATGTATTAGGCTGTCATTGGATTAGGGTGATTAAACAGAGCCTGTTCCCCCCTATATCAGATGTACCTATCAGAGTCCCCCTTTACATCAGGAGTCCTCATCAGAGTACCCCTTTATTTCAGATTACCATCAGAGTACCCCCTTATTATATCAGAGTCCCTGTCAGCATACTAAACCCAGCCCTAAAGTATATTATTAAAAATTCAGCAGATCTTGGCAATGCATGCACTCTTCCGCATGCATAAGGTCTTCTAAAAATACTTGTTGATCCTGCCAGAAATCCAGTGAGATCCTGACTTCCTATAGTGACCTAAGCTGCACTAAAATGCTAAGCAGTTCCCACTTGCTTGGGCTACAGAACTCCTCCCCCTTATGATATGGAGTTAAAGTGTTACCCAGGACCCTGCATTCACTATATCTGGTCTCCCAGGACCCTGCATTCACTATATCTGGTCTCCCCAGACCCTGCATTCACTATATCTGGTCTCCCAGGACCCTGCATTCACTATATCTGGTCTCCCAGGACCCTGCATTCACTATATCTGGTCTCCCCGGACCCTGAATTCACTATATCTGGTCTCCCAGGACCCTGCATTCACTATATCCGGTCTCCCCGGACCCTGCATTCACTATATCTGGTCTCCCCAGACCCTGCATTCACTATATCTGGTCTCCCCAGACCCTGCATTCACTATATCTGGTCTCCCAGGACCCTGCATTCACTATATCTGGTCTCCCCGGACCCTGCATTCACTATATCTGGTCTCCCCGGACCCCGCATTCACTATATCTGGTCTCCCCGGACCCTGCATTCACTATATCTGGTCTTCCAGGACCCTGCATTCACTATATCTCATCTCCCCGGCCCCTGCATTCACTATATCTGGTCTCCCCGGACCCTGCATTCACTATATCCGGTCTCCCCGGACCCTGCATTCACTATATCCGGTCTCCCCGGACCCTGCATTCACTATATCTGGTCTCCCAGGACCCTGCATTCACTATATCTCATCTCCCCGGCCCCTGCATTCACTATATCTGGTCTCCCCGGACCCTGCATTCACTATATCCGGTCTCCCTGGACCCTGCATTCACTATATCCGGTCTCCCCCGGACCCTGCATTCACTATATCTGGTCTCCCCGGACCCTGCATTCACTATATCTGGTCTCCCCCGGACCCTGCATTCACTATATCTGGTCTCCCCGGACCCTGCATTCACTATATCCGGTCTCCCTGGACCCTGCATTCACTATATATCGGTCTCCCCCGGACCCTGCATTCACTATATCTGGTCTCCCCGGACCCTGCATTTGCTATATCTGGTCTCCCAGAACCCTGCATTCACTATATCTGGTCTCCCCGGAACCTGCATTCACTATATCTGGTCTCCCTGGACCCTGCATTCACTATATCTGGTCTCCCACAGTACACAGAACATGGAAGTGCAATTATTTTAGTAAATATAAAAACTGCTTAATACCTTTTCTCATCAGCAGTATATAGCAGTCTTGTGACTTCTATCAGTATCCAGCTGAGCACTGGTTAAAGCTTGTAGGAGGAGTTTTCATTCTTCCCTGATTATCCTATGAGGCTGCAGGACCACTGACTCTCTGTGTGGATAGCGCTGATTGGCCCTGTGCTGATCACATGCAGTCTCCTAAGAGCACAAAAAAACCCTCTAGCAATACACACCAAACTGAGCATGTGCAGCTTGCCCCCAAGCCTCTGTCCTATCATTAGATGTATTGGGGACAGTAGAAGAAAGGGAGGATCAGAGAAGACAGGATCAAACAGCCTTTTTACACAATGCAGAGGATTAACCCCTTAGGTTCCACAGTGAGTATAACAAGCATGCTTTACTGCATATACAGACTGATTTCACTGTTGTGGGTTTAGTAACACTTTAAGTAGAGGGTAAGAACGGGGAAGACCTGCATAGCTCTGACAACACTCCCTGAGATTTTAGTGCAGCAGAGGTAGCGTTGTCAGCTCATTGCAGGATATTAATCTCTTACTGGATTTCTGGCAGTTCAACGGGTATTTTTCTGTACTTGCAGCATTTTTTAAAGGGATAAAGCATTGGGAAATATGAATGTGTTGCTGAGATGTAAAATATTGGCAACCATACATAATACATTTTGCTCACTTTTGCTATTTAAGGGCGGCACAGTGGCTTAGTGGTTAGCACTTCCACCTGGTAGTACTAGGGGTTGTTAGTTCAAATCCCAACCACAGCACCAACTGCCTGGAGTTTGCATGTTCTCCCTGTGCCTGCGTGGGTTTCCTCCCACATTCCAAAGACATGCAGGTAGGCTAATTGGATCCTGTCTACATTGTCCCTAGTATGTGTATGTATGAATGTAAGTTAGGGACCTTAGATTGTACGCCCCTTGAGGGTTAGGGACCTTAGATTGTACACCCCTTGAGGGTTAGGGACTGATGTGAATGTACAATATATATGTAAAGTGCTGCGTAAATTGATGGCGCTATAAAAGTACCTGAAATAAATAAATAATATTTGCCATGCGACTTCACTTTTGGTCCAGCTCTTTGGATGGGGGCATTCTTCAAACATTAATGCAGTCACTAATGTATGTACTAAGGCAGAGATGCAAACAAGGAACGTTCCCGTCTCTGCATACCTTGTAAGGCCTCTGATCAGGCGGGATAGTTAGGCCAGCAGTACAGCCATATAAATCATTAGGTGGGGAGGTATGTAGCTTATAGGATGTTACACATTGTTCTGTCAGTGCTGCCTATACATGAGGCCGCAGGGAGGGGGGACATCCCTTCAGCATTTCAAGGAAAGGGGGCACATGTGTTGTGTTTCATTCACCAGCACAAGGCAATGGAATAGCCAGCATGCCTTTTAAGACTCTCACATTTCTGCAAGGATTCTGTTTTTTCAGCTGTGCAATATAAAGCTGAAAGTGACACTTCCTGATGGTAATTAATAGAAGCGAACATACCATCTCATTCACATCCAATGGAGACATCGATGTATGACGTAGCTGCAGCCTATAGGGGCCCTTTTCAAACCTATGGGGGCCCTAGTGCACTGATCAGAGTGGTGCGGGTCAGATTTATTATTATTTTTTATTTCAGGTGCTTATATAGCGCTGGCAATTTACACAGCACTTTACATATATATTATACATTCACATCAGTCCCTAACCCTCAAGGGGTGTACAATCTAAGGTCCCTAACTCACATTCATACATACACATACTCGGGACCAGGGGCAGACTGACAACTCATGGGGCCCCCGGGCAATAGGGGATCATGGGGCCCCTGTGTCCTTGCCCAAACTCAAAAAAGCCTATGAAAAAGGTACCAGGGGCATCTCATGGGGCCCCTTACTGACCCTGGGCCCTCGGGCAGTGCCCGAGTTTCCAAATGGTCAGTACGCCCCTGAGTAGGGACAATTTAGACAGGAGCCAAATAACCTACCAGCAGATCTGTGCAGGTAAAGTGCTGAAGGCTGGCACAGAGTACAAGGATACTTCCATTTGGGAGTGTGGAAATTTTTGAACAAACTACTTGTCCAGGGACTAAATCTGTGTCCCAATCTACTTGTCCAGATAAAAAAAAAAAAAAATGTAAAACCCAAACCGTATTTAAATATGAGGTGTTTTTAGGAATGTCTGGGGCATTTAAAAAACAAAAGGGGCTTTATGGCAACGTAAACATAGTCAAGTAGTTACATAGTTAGTCTGGCTGAAAAAAGACAAAAGTCCATCCAGTTCAACCATTGAAAAAAAAAAGTTATAATCCTACACCCACAGTTGATCCTGAGGAAGGCAAAAAAAACCCAGCAAAGCATGATCCAATTTGCTCCTGCAGGGAAAAAAATTCCTTCCTGATCCCCCGAGAGGCAATCGGATATTCCCTGGATCAACTTTACCTATAAATGTTATATCCAGTTATATTCTGTGTATCAAAGAAACAATCCAGGACTTTTTTAAAGCAATCCACTGAGCTGGCCACAACCAACTCTTGAGAGAGTCTATTCCATATTTTCACAGCTCTTAATGTGGAGAAACCTTTCCTTGTTTGGAGATTACATTTCTTTTCCTCCTGACGTAAAGAGCGCCCCCTTGTCCTCTGTGATGACCTCAGGGTGAATAACTACACCGAGTTCACTATATGAACCACTGATGTATTTATACATGGAGATCATATCCCCCTTATGTATTATACATGGAGATCATATCCCCCCTTATGTATTATACATGGAGATCATATCCCCCCTTATGTATTATACATGGAAATCATATCCCCCCTTATGTATTATACATGGAGATCATATCCCCCCTTATGTATTATACACGGAGATCATATTCCCCCTTATGTATTATACATGGAGATCATATCCCCCCTTATGTATTATACACGGAGATCATATCCCCCTTATGTATTATACATGGTGATCATATCCCCCCTTATGTATTATACATGGAGATCATATCCCCCCTTATGTATTATACATGGAGATCATATCCCCCCTTATTTATTATACATGGAGATCATATCCCCCCTTATGTATTATACATGGAGATCATATCCCCCCTTATGTATTATACATGGAAATCATATCCCCCCCTTATGTATTATACATGGAGATCATATCCCCTTATGTATTATACATGGAGATCATATCCACCTTATGTATTATACATGGAGATCATATCCCCCCTTATGTATTATACATGGAGATCATATTCCCCCTTATGTATTATACATGGTGATCATATATCCCCTTATGTATTATACATGGAGATCATATCCCCCCTTATGTATTATACATGGTGATCATATCCCCCTTATGTATTATACATGGAGATCATATCCCCCCTTATGTATTATACATGGTGATCATATCCCCCCTTATGTATTATACATGGAGATCATATCCCCCCTTATGTATTATTACATGGTGATCATATCCCCCTTATGTATTATACATGGAGATCATATCCCCCCCTTATGTATTATACATGGTGATCATATCCCCCCTTAATCTCCTTTTCTCAAGAGAGAATACATTCAGTTCCTCTAATCTTTCCTCATAGCTGAGCTCCTCCATGCCTCTTATCAGTTTGGTTGCCCTTCTCTGTACTTTCTCCAGTTCCCCAATGTTCTTTTTTGAATTGGTGCCCAAAACTGAACTGCATATTCCAGATGAGGTATTACTAATGATTTGTACTGTGGGAAATGATATCTCTCTCTCTGGAGTCTATACCTCTTAATACAAGATCTGGTGAATCCAGCCACTGAGTCTGTTGTTTTTCAACCAAAAAAGATGTATCAGTTTATAATGATGAGACAAACCATTGAACACTGTCAAGGGTGCTTACAATGATCGGCTTTTATTTATTCATGTAAAACCTTTATCCCAAAGGGGTAAAAAATCTGTTTTCTGTAAGGTCTCTTTCACACGGGCGTTCTATATGTCCGTTTTTCTCTGTTCATTTACGGATGAAAAACGGACACCCATGTATTTCTATGGACCAGTGGATGTAAACGGATGATCATCTTTTTAAGTCCATTAATGTCCATATCCGTTAACATCCGTTTTGTTCTCTTTAGAACCCGCAGGTTGGCATTGCATGCCATTAGTAAGCTTGTGATCTACCAGAACTCCCAGATCCTTCTCCACCATTGGTTCCCCCAGTTGTACCCCTCCCCCCCCCCCAGTATGTATGATGCATATTCTTAGTTCCCAAGTGCAGAACCTTA